TGGCTTTTAAGGTGGAACTGAAGAGCGGCTGAAATAAGGAACAGGTGTGGGTAATGGGACAGAACGAGGAAGGGCTGGAGCGCCCTTAAGAGGAGGAATAGCAAGCGTGACACTCACTACTATACAGGCATTTGTCGACCAAATGGCTTACTCTCTTTTGTAACTGGAATTATGTTCTTGAATAAGAGAACTGAGATGTAAGTAAAAGTACGACCCTTAAAATGGTTCCTGTAAAAATACAAGTCAGGTGTTGTAGAACGCAAGAAAAGTATACTGTAGCTATTTCATAGACACACATGTTGAACGCAAAGTTAGTGTGAAGTGTTTAAAGAGAGAAGGTTAGTGTGGAGCAGTCATGCAGATGACCATGATAAAGCTGTAGAAGTCCAGCACATGGACAGAAAGCAGAGCTCTGGACAAAAGACCTCCACAGACTTCAGGGCTCCAACTCCAGCCGATGACACCAGGCCTGTGGGTCAGTCAGTCCTGTGTGGCCAGCGTCTGTGTGCCCTCTCTGACAGGAATCCTCTTATATTACTGAAATGGGATGTGTGCATGACAGACTTAGTGTACTTAGAAAGACAGAAATCCCAGTAATCTATCACCTGGACTCTCTCCTGCACAGATTATCTGTCTGTGGAGCTCAAGCACCAAGGAAAAGGGTCATGACCTCTCTTTACTCCCTCATGACCTCCTCACCCTTCCCAGAATTCCCCCCAGCTGTCTGCTCCCCCCGTGACCGGGATTTTCAGCCCCACTCCCTGTCAGTGCAGAAACGGCTCCATCAGCACAAACCGGCTGTTCCTAACTCCTGGCTACTCCGTCTCCTTAAAGACAACAGCAATGCCTTCACACATCTCTGACCGAGCAGCAAACTATTACTTTAAATCCTGAATACATAAACAGCCTACAAATGAAAGCAGGGTCTTTTCATCTGCTTGCTTGCTTAGTGTCTAGAAGATTAATGATTCAAGAATTGCAGCAGGTAATACAGCACCCAGTTCAGCTGAAGGGCTGCAGCTTTCCTGTTCCAGACAGTTTAATTGCAAAGCTTCACAATGTGCTCCTGTGAGCACACTGGTCAGGCAGTTCCCTCCATTCGTGTTTGCTATCGGAAGGGGTTTCAATCGGCCCGGTGTTTGGGACAAACACGGCTCTGGGCTGCAGCGTCTCTCTGCGCTGTTTCTGGCAGCGGCGAGCCCGGCGCGGAGAGGGACCTCTTGTTCCTGCCTTTGTTTTTCGAGGCGGCTGACAGAGGAACGTCGGGACGAGCCGAGGAGCTTGGGTCAACATCCTGTTCTGCCAGCCTTCTCCTGCAGGAGGTCGGGAGAGCCTTGGGACCCTGCGCACGGAGGGGCTCCCCTTGGGGGCACACACGGCCGGATACCCACGTACGCCCACGTCATGACCGGTGACTCTATTCCACAATCCGCTCAAGCCTGCAGAGGGAGAAAAAGACATGATGCAAACATGTTTGCACTTTTATATTGAAGAAGAATGGCAATGACAAAGTGTGGACACCCCCCTGATTCACTCTTTCTCGGGAGTAAGTGTCTTTGTGGGGAGATTTCCTGAGATCGCCCCACTGGGCTGTCTCCTGTGCCTACAGTGACATGACTGGCCAGACACTCCTCAGAGGCTCCCAGGCCTTGCCAGGCTATAGTCCTTGCTCCCTGATCCTTGACGCTCCAGTTGAGTCTGTCTGTCCTCTCAGGTCAGAGGTCACCCGCCTCTCTGACCAGCTGCTAGAGATAATGGCTCCCACTGTCCAGCTAGGCCAGTCTCTGGCCCCGCTGACCCCTGTCCCCAATATACACTGCTATGCCCCAGCACTCAGCAGGCGATAACTGCAGAGTGACAAAGCAGTTTGCATGTATTATCTTAACGTGAGCTTGATTAGATTAAACGGTAAGTGACATCAGTACTTCCCTAAGTGTGTGCCAGTGCCCAAAGGTCTCCGTACCAAGATATTGTGTTCAAAAAGTGTGGATCAGGCTCTCTTTGGCACTAAAGCAAATATAAATATAAAGTTCACTGAATCAAGCTCAGCCGGTCACAGAAGTGAAGTCAAGCATTTCTCATTCAGCCTATAGTCTAGATCAAATACAGTATTAGTGCTGAATGTTTTTAAAATCATTTGGTGTGCTGTGAAATGTTTGGGGAGACGCTACAAGCTGGACAAATTGGGGGAGCAGCTGGCTCTGTGGTTATGCGTGAACCAACTTTGAACCAGACCACATATTGTGTTTTTGTTCCTGTTCGGCAGCTTGGGCCCTATCAATAAAAGGCCCAGAGAAGAGAGGGGCTACCCCACCAGTGACTATAGTGCTGGAGAGTGGCTAGCAGTGAGAGGAGAGAGCTGGAAAGTGCCTGTGAGGAGGCGAGGGCATCTTGCAACTCCTGTGCTGTGTGAATGAGCCATTGCCCAGTGCATGGGTGATCTGGAGGGGATAATCAACGCCTAGGTTTCTCTTAAATGACAGGGCCCTTAAAAGGCATCGGCAGACTAAAAGAGGCTCTAACACAAGGACTCGGGTCGTGCGAGCTGGGCTACCCCCAGGGTGCGGACACCCCACCGTCAATCAATCTGCTGGACGACCCTGCACTCTCCCCTGATTACACCCTGAGCCCACTCAAAACGTGCATGAACTGGACAGTTCAGACTGGCCTCGCACTTTTAAAAGAGACCCAGGGTGTCTCCTGATTCTTGCGAAAAGCCATCTGCACCTCCTTCATCTACATCTTACTGTTTCTGTAGGCAGGACAGGGTTAACCTCTGCTCCCTTATAGTTATTTGTATTGGGTATCTGCGAAAATCTAGCTGCTGAAGTTGGACACAGTAAAGAGTGGAACGCCCTTTTCCTGACGTTTCCTGTCCAGGTTCTTTAAAGGCTCCCTTCTGTGTTTGGAACTTCCAGTCCAGTGTTAACATTAGACCCCAGCTGTGATGACCACACGCACACTTAACGACGCTCTGGGAGGAGCTGTGGTCCCTCAGTCCAAGCTGGCTTGATCAGGAGAGGAAAGACAGCTACTTGCTCGCTTGCGAGAATCAAAGCAGCTTGGACTCCGAGAGGTATAGAGCTTCAGGTTTAGTAGTCTCCTATGACCTATTGCCAAAAACCTCGAAGTTAAGTTTCTCTTACTTTTAGTGTTTCTTTATTCTGAGAATGTTGTAGAAAAGAGGTGAACACAATGACACTGTTACCTAGTTAATGGGAGAGGCACTCCTTAAGTGCAGCTCTGTCTTTTTTTTTATGCATTCCTATTTCCTAACATTTCTGCACTGGTGAGGCTGCCCCTGTTCTCTGTAGGTCCTGGGAGAGGAAAGAGGAGAAGAGAGAGTGAGAGAAAGGGAGAGTGAGTTAGCCAGAGAAGAAACAACAGTCTTCTATCAGTAAAATCTCAACAGTGGCTCAGATAATGCAGCAACATCGACAGATAAGGGCGTTTAGGAACAAATCAGTCAATCCCCCTGGCAGAATAGGAGCAGCACAGCTCACTCGCCCCAGAACAGTGTCTGGGCCAGCCTTCTCACCACAGGAATATAAGCTAAAGAGGTGAAAGGTCAGAGGTCACCAAATCGAACACATGCAGAATCTGTGAAGTCCTTGTTCGGCTATTCATCAAGAATCAGAAATTCTGCTCTCTCCCCCCCGTGCTCATATCCTGGGGGGGGATGTGATTCTGAAACAGGAGCAGGTGATTACAGGGGCTGACTTCAAAGTGGCTCCATCAAAGCTCCTTAGGAGGCGAGAGAGACAAGGCTGCTGCGAAACAGAGCGTTATTGTGTTGGAACGAGCTGTCGATTCGCAGAGCTCTGTGAGAGAGCTTTAGCCGGCTGATAGCAGGGCCCAGTACTGTCTGACCTGCTTTCGCAGACAGTGTTCGGCAGTCCTTGCTGCGTCACGACCTGAGCCTTGTCACTAGGGTTATGCAAGAGCTCTCAGGCTTGCTCCAGTTTCTTTCCTTATTTTGCAGGAACGGCAACAATGACAGCCACCCAGAAAAGGGGAGAAAATCAGGGCTGCACAATAAGCGCTGAAGGTTGATGTCAAAATATTCGCAACGCTGACATACTGACATCAAATAAATAGCTGACCAAGTGCAGTGAATTTGTGTGCAAGTAACTACAGCTGGAGAAAACGAAATGCACCATTTCTGTGTATGTCACCTAGGCCAGATTGGAAAGACAGTCACAGCTTTGGCTGCAGAGACAGGTGGGCAGAATATTGGTGATATATATTCCAAGCTTTACAAGATAATCTAAACGTATGGAGGGTCCTAGCACTGTTAAAGAGCACCCCATATCTTCTGTGCATATTTTGGATTTAAAAAAACTGGCCAGGGGGGGGTTGGGGATAATCGACACTCGACAAATGCCTCCAAAGAAATGAATCTTCATTACTTTTTCTAATCAAAAAATCAATTTAAACTCTCTTGTTTTCATTAAACTTCTTAGTAAACCTTTAAGCACTTGCAAGGTTGCTATTTCTCTTCCATGATGGCAAACAAGGGAAAAACAAAAATATAGCCCTATTTTAAACTTTAAGTTGTTTTTTTCTTCATTTGAACACAACAAAAGTCTTAACACATGAGGAAAAAATGAAGACATCATAACTCCTCATTGGTTGCAAAAATGATCAATTTTAACAAAGCATTTTGAAATATAATGAAACAAGTTAAACATTGTAATTTGTCACGGCCATGAAAACTGCCACACACACACAAAAACCCTTTTCAAGCTACGCTATGCGTGTCAGTTCAAAACATCTACCGGTTATGCATGGACCGAACGAAAATATGTAGGCCTGTGTTTGTTTACACAGTCTGAGTAACTAACGAGCATAAAAAAAACCGGAGAAGTTTTGGAATTTTATAAATCCCGGTCGGACCGATATTTTAGGTCTCAAAATGAGGACACGTCTGGGAAAAAGAGGACACCTAGTCACCCTACAGTACAATATAATAAATAATCAAAGTTGTTCTGTTAATCATCCTCACAAAAGGACAGCCTGGGTGGACACATCATGTTTTGCAGGACACCCTGTTGGTTCTTATCCTGGTCACCAGGAGTTGTCCCAGGGACAAGGACAGGCCCTGTGTTTTTCCTTCAGAGACAGAGGTCGAAGTCTGAACATCAGGAGGTTTTTTTTTTTCCATTGTTCCCTTCTTAGAGTAGCCAGCGACCTCTTGCACACTGCTCTGCTGCCGAACAGCACATACCACACTCCTTCTAATAATCCGTCTCTGTGTTCTCGGTCTTTGTGTGCATGTGTTTACTGGGCTGCAAAACAAGGGGCTTTATTTTCGGGAAGGAGCTGCCAGGGTGGACAGATTCGTGTTTTGCACGTTCGGGTGGGTGGCTGTATTTTCCTCACAGAGAAGAGAAAGAGCCAACAGACTCGTGCACATTCATAAGGCAGCCCACAATGTCCTCCCACTGCAGGCACAGAGAGAACTGATGGAGAGGGGGCCTGTTGTGTAGCTGTATCTGAGCCAGGTGTGACGCAGGGGGTGATGAGAGAAGCAGGAAAGGTACGTACAGCCTTAATCCGAGAATCCAGGCTCAGGTGATGCACCTCAGTGCAGTCAGCTAATCTCTCACACCCCCTGCAGCCCCGCAGAACAATAATCACTCATATGGTGCAATTACAGCAGGCAGGGTGTCAGCAACACAGTAGCTCAGAGGTCTGAAGCCCAATGCGTTAAGCATAATTGCTTAAGGAGCCAGGGTGTCAACATGTATATTACAACTTTCTGCGGCGCAGCTTTTCTCACATGCGATATAAGGCTTTGCAGAAGAAAAAATAGTTCTTTTGCAGCAAATTTTGTGCATTTCCTTTTATGTTCCAGCATGGGATGAATCTTAATTTATAAGGGCATAACAGGTTTAGCACTTGGTTGTCTGACAAGAACACCGCTGCGTGTAATTTAGGAGCCTGTAGTGAGAGCAGCTCCATCACCTCAGGGCAGGCCGTGCTCTAGGGGAGACAAGGCACACATTTTGTATGCAGACCGTGCTGTGCACACTGTGGATTGTCTAGCCTCAGAGGGGCTTCTGGGAGGAAGTGGACTTTCTCATTAGGAATCCACCCAGAGCACACTTTCCTTTATTGCGCCAAAGCCTTGAAACTGTCTGTCCTAAGGGAAACACTAAGTCTTTGGGGACAGCACTATTGCTTCCTGGCCCGAGACATACAAGGTAGAACAGGTGTAACACAGCACTCCGGCTGAAATCGCCGTCGTGTACAGGACCGAGGTTCCCGAGCGAACGCAACAGCGTCAGCTGGTTCCAAAACTCTCGGCCCCTCGTCTCTCCGGCTAGAGCTCCACACCGCCACTCCGGTGCACGTGACCCTGTCGGTGCCAGGAACCTGAGCCGCGAGGAAACAAACCAGGAAGGAAAACAACACAAACTCTGGCAGGCAGGAACAGTCACGGAGGGTGGGTGCGCAGACCTTCAGACACCACCAAACGGGGGCCGCAGCTTCACGCAGAGCAGGGAGGGAGAGAGAGAGGGTGCTGCTGAAAAATACAATAATAAAAATTCTTTACACTTATGTAGTGCTTTTCTGGACACCCCACTCAAAACGCTTTACAGGTAATGGGGACTCCCCTGCAGTACCACGGTGTAGCTCCACCTGGATGATGGTGCCCTCCAGCACAGTCACCCTCAGTCATCGCTCCCCCTCCGAGCGAATTCGAGTCCGGTAGGTGACAGCCTGTGATAGTTCAGGTGGGCAGCTGCGTCAGCATGCGTAGGCTGCAAAGGAACAAGTAATAGGTTTATTCCATGGTGAAAAAAAGAAGAAAGGGAACAACGTTTCGGCCGTGGAGCCTTCTTCAGGTGTCACCTGAAGAAGGCTCCACGGCCGAAACGTTGTGTTCCCTTTCTTCTTTTTTTCCACCATGGAATAAACCTATTACTTGACAGCCTGTGATGACAGGCAGGTTGAGGGGGTGGGGTGGGATTAGGGGGAGCTCCAAACTCTAAGGGACAGATGCGTTAGCACCTGCCAATTGCAGCAAAGCATCTTAAACAGCTCAAATTAGCACCTGCACAAGTTAGCACCTGCAGTTTAAGGTACTGCACTGTTTGCACTATGTCCTGTCTTGTGTTATCATGTCTATCGTCTGAATTTATTGTCCATGTCTGTTTGTCATCTTTTTTTTCCCCTCTCTAATGTTACTGGTTACGGCTCAAAAAATAAGCATTCCAATACATTGATTGTAGAAAGCAAATAAAGAAATCTTGAATCTCGCAGATGAGATTGCAGATCCGTTTTTACATACACTCTTTTAAGAGACCAAGCTCTGATCCGTTATGGTCAGTCGCTGTGGCACAGTGGAGTGATGGATGTCCTGGGTTCGAATCCCACATAGGACATACGAGTCTGCAGTCTCACCCTGCTCTTGAGAGCTTTTCACTGGTAGCCCCTCGTTTCCCCTCTGCGGACACAGGTCGTTCAGGCTGGTTCCATACGTAAGGGGTCTGTTCCCAGTGCAGCCAGTAGAGCCTCTGGGGACAATGGAGAAACCGATGAACATGCTGAATGGTCTGTCCTTGGCCGCCGAGCTGATGGTCAGGTTAAACACCGAGGGAAACCTAATACTCAGCTATCAGCTCCCCCAATCTCTCTGCCCGAACAAGAGCTGCTTTCCTCTCAGCGCTGTAACCAACACCCAGCCTGTCACCTGAAACATTATTGTCAAAACAAACAAAAAAGCTAAAGCTGTCTCTTTGCGTTCAACCGCTAGCCAGAAACATGTTAAATGCGATTTGTTTTAATCAGGAACCGGCAAAGGTGAAGCACATCTTGCTTAGGAGTCACAAGATAACTAGCACAGAGTGACAGAATCACATTGCACAGACGCAAGCTGAAATGTACAGGTATAGTCCTTTAAAAATGCTTAATTTCCTTAAATCAAATGCATCATTCATGCTGGTAGTTTATAGAGGTTTTCTGGAAATGATTTAAATTTTCCTGTTCACACGACAAAGGTTAATAATACCCCCCCTCCCCCTTTGGCCCTGGCCCGTGTGAAACCAATCCTTCACCCTGACCAGACAGGACACAATGGCACTTCCTGCCCTAAGTAGCCAATGTTGTCACGAGTAGCATAAAAACCACAAGGCTGTTTACAGGAAAAACAAGATGTTTTAAAGGGTTTAAGCGGGGACTTTGAATTTCTATTCCTCAAGGAATTCCTCAACTCCTGTGTCAGATGGAGGGTTCTCCTACAACGGCAGCATGTTTGAGTTTGAAAAGGCTCACTTCCTTCAGGTTCCTCCTTGAGCTCAGGCCTGAAGGGAGAACCAACGTCCAGAGAATATCCTTGACCTAGACTGGGAGTTTGAACACAGACGCACTATCCCACAGTGCCCCTCTCATTCTGTCAATTGGACAACATCAGGTGAATACCTGTGCAGGGTAAGTAAAGTGGAATCAGAACGCTGTTCAAGCTCTCTTATAAGGAAGCTGTCATTTTGGACAGGAGGGCTTGTTGACAGTGACTCCAGCATGCCCCCTAGTGGCTGCCATGTGATGTACACCACTAAGGGTTTCAGCCTATCCACAACAACAGAGCAGGTGTCAATGGGGTAGGCAGGCACTACACCCAACCAGAATTACCTCCACCCTTTGATGTGGTTGAAAGGGGACTTTTTCCCCCCATGAAACAGACTGATCAATTAAACAGATTTGTGGTCCATCTACAACACAGACGTACAGCGCACGCAGATGCACTGTACGGGACCATGAAAAACAGGCTGTAGTAAGATACAGTGGATTGTATTAACAGAAGGGTAGGAATATTCCTTGTGGATAAACTGGCCAGGTGACCTCTGACCCCCAGAGAGAGAGAGAGAGAGAGAGAGAGAGAAACCAGGGCATGTCCCACAAAACAACACCAGTAGACTCTCGCCTGGACTACAGCCCAGCTGAGCCCAGAGCCTGTGGCATTGTACTGCGGGGAAAAGAGGGGGGCTCGTTCAGTCCACTGTGCCCCAAAAAAGCCCCAGGGGGGTGGAGAGAGAGAGAGAGAGACCACCATAGGTGACCCTGAGCTCGGGAACCACCCCTCAAAACTCTGAAAAATGGTGTTAAATTTGACAAAACCCTGGGAAGTAAAACTATACCTGCAAGTAAAAACAAGTATCTCCGGATCTATATATAGTCAGTCCTGCTGTTGCCTACCTGGAAAATTGTACCGGAGCATGCAGGCCCCGACCACCAGACTCGGAGACAGTTTTTACCCCCACACTGTCAAACTCCCAGCCTCTCGCCTAACATCTGAACCCTTACAGGGCCTTCTCTCTAGATCAAAACTCAAACGCACAACGAAATCTACCTCTACCTCACGTGTCAAGACGTTTACTCCCCAGAATTGTGTATCCTTTATTTCATTCTGTTGGCAACAGTTGTGCAAAATCGTACGTCATTTTGCACGTTGCCCGTTGTCTCGGTCTCTTTTCTTGCACCTTTGTCTTGTGGTTTGCACCACTCACCGTCCGAGAGCCCGCTAAATAGCGTTTCGTCCTACCATATACCCGTGGAGGAGGATAACGACAATGAGCTCGAACTTTTGAAGAGGAGTCATTGTGGCTTAACTGGAACGTGTAAACCTGTGGCAGAAAGACCCTGCGGCTCCGGTCTGTCCGGTCCGGACCGGGCCAGGCTGCTGAAGTGCAGAGGGGCTCTCCGGGGAGCCAGCGCCCTCTGAAAGCGGCGGTGTTGACAGACATTCACAGAGGCCGAAGGCCAGGCTGGCCCTCCTCTCCTTCTCCCAATCCGTGGGGCTCTTCTCGTCTCCCGCGCCCCAGCCCCTGCGTGCGGGAGCTGGGAACAACCCGCAGACACAACACAAAGCCGGGGGCTGCCCTCCCCCTCGCAGGCCTGCCCTGCGGTTGCTCACGGGGAAAGGCCAGCAGGGGCTTCAGCAGCCGGGAGACGGGCGACGTCATCGCAGAGACCAAGCCCGACGGCACGCCGAGATCCCCGGCCCCCCCTTACCTGCTGAGCTCGCGCTTACCTGCTGTGGTCGCTGGTAAAACCCGGAACGGCTCCAACAGCCATGCAATGGGATTGCTGATGCTGTCTCTTGGTTCCACTCTATTCCGAATTGGGCCAGCAAGGACAAGGTCTGTGGGGTAGAGGGACTGGGAATATTTAGGGAGGATGAGGGGGGGGGACAGAGGGCATGGAGAGAGGACAGGGCATTTCAGGGTACCACAGCAGGCCTAACCTCTCCCCAAATTAAAATACACTGTGCTCAGCTGACCGGGGGGGCATCCGGGTGGCTGGGGGTTAATGGTGACCGTGGCGACTCTCCTCTCGCCTGGGCCGCCATTCACGGTCGCCGGGGGCAACGGCCCGTCTCCCAGCGGGAGAGGAAGGAATGCGGGGGCAAGCTCATCACGCTGAGACCGGGGGGGGGCAGTCCGAATGCAGAACAGCAGGGGAACAGGAGCTGCACCGGAGGAGGATGACGAGAGAGGTGAGGGAGCAGGGACAGAGGAAGAAGACACAGAAAGAGAGGCTAATGAAGGAGAACGGGGAGGTGGGAGAGGGAGTGTGTTCTCTCTCCTGCTGGAGCTAGGGACCCCAACTCTTTTCTGGGAAAAATAAACACTGAGACGGTGTGGGGGGGAGGGGGATGCCCTAACTCTCAGACTTCTCGGCCCCGTGTTTATGAGGAGACATCTTTACTCAAAGAAGAGTGATCCTGAGGACTCCTATAAAAAAAAAAAAGGAGGGTCGAGAGTAATGAAATGCATGAATCCAAACAGAACAGGCAAGACAGCCTGAGAAGCCCTCTCTTGGTTGTAAACATTTTGATATGAAATGGAGCAACAACAACAAAAAAAAAAAGATTAAACTGTCATAATGTGAAGGTTTTTCACCAATTCGACTAGTGACCTCGTGTGGCGAACACGCGACACTACCGATTAGAGCTGCAGACGGATACTGTTCAGATTACAATTCCCACATCCGATGACCTAACCTGGAAGACCGTCGTGGTCTCAGGTTTTAATAATAATAATAGCTTACACTTATATAGCGCTTTTCTGGACACTCCACTCAAAGCGCTTTACAGGTAATGGGGACTCCCCTCCACCACCACCAGTGTGCAGCCCCACCTGGATGATGCGACGGCAGCCATAGTGCGCCAGAACGCTCCCCACACATCAGCTATATATCAGTTTTCTGAGTGTCTTTAGAACGGCAACACTTGAGAAGCTAAATGTGTCCAGTTGACGAGCTGCTTTGCGTTGTTAAAAGCAGAGTTTTAATGAAACAGAACTGTAGACACTGGTCCTCCGGGAACAGGATTGGGCAGACATGACCTGACCGTGTGTAGATCATTAACCATTAGGATGTTGGGAGGTAGAACTTCTCATCTCAATGTGTTGGCGTAGATACTTACATTTTCCGGCACATCGCCTTTTCCCAAATTGTAACTGCTGTTAAGCTTTGAAATGAAGTCGGCAATAAAAATAAAAGGTATCCAACACATCACGAGTAGGGTGTGTAGACAGTCTCACCCGCCAGGGGGCGCGCCATAGGCACGCTTTGCGGCTCAGAGACGCAAGTGCAGATTGAAAGAGGAACCTGGAAGCTGGTTTTGTGATTTTAAGCCCCGGAGCAAGAGAAGACCATCCTCATTAAATAAAGACACTTATTTGATCAATAATGCATTGAGAATCAAAGCCTTAACATTTAAACGGTAGATTTCACTAGACGGGCTTGTCTGGAACACCACAACAGCGTCTACTGCGGCTCTGTCCCGGTGCGGCGGGCTGTGAACGTGTTAAAAATGAAATCGTCCGAAGATGAACTCGAACACTACTTGTCCTAACAAGACACAAACGAGATAGTTGTTGCTGGGTGTACATTAGGACACGATTCTGTTGGAATTCCCATATCCCAGTATGTCACCAGTTCTGCAAAGGAACAGGTAAAGGTTTACTCCATGCTGAAAAGAGAAGAAAGAAAACAACGTTTCGGCTGTGAGGAATTCTTTGCTACGAACGCTAAAAGACCCTTTGGTTGGTCCTCGCTGTATTTGTGAAGTTTATGTACAGAACTAAATACAGGATTCAGTCGAAAGAAAATAGACATACACTGGCATATTTTTCGACATCTCGAAAGCGTTTCTCTGGGCCTTTTTATTATGAATTGACATTGGTGCCAAAAAAAATACTTAAATTTTTTGCGTGATTTTCTGGAAGAAGACATCATTTGCGATCTCCGCCCAGTATGTATATTTATTTAGACTAAGAACAGTTCCATAAAACCCAATTAGCATATCCTGTTCAGTACGAGATACGGCTTTGTGGCTCCCCACGTGCCGGCTGGCCCACCCATTGCCGCATTGCTGCCGCGCATCGGTACACAGCCCTGCCTAGTTCCTAGACACAGCGGTCTCTGGTATTGACACATCCGCGAAGGGGGAATTTTTCCATCCGCTTCAAACCAAGAGAAACTTCTCGTTCCCCTCCCACAAACATCCATTATTACGTAGCGTTAGGCATTTAAGGCTCGACGCTGCCTCCCGTTGTCCCGCTGTTTCGTTTTTCTGTGGGTCCTCCGTAGGGGGTCTATTTGTACCAGTTGAAGTAGTCCCGGTCGCAGCCGCCATTTCGGGATTTAGAACAGCCGCTTTGTTGTCGACGCGGTTGTTGGTCTATGCAAAGAAGTTTACAAATATAAAAGAGCACCTTTTAAAAATTGCGATCAGTCAGATTTAAAAAAATCGAACGCTCGATATTTATTTTTTTTAAATCGGGAAGAGATATCAAACATTTGACTGAGTCAACGTGTGTTATTTTAGGTTTGTAGTTGACGAGCTCACCGGCATTACTGATCTATACGCACGGCGAATTCGCGGCACGGGTCGTCAATTTTAAATTTTTTTTTTTTGAGAAGAAACTAAAATCCAAAGCATTTTTAACAGCGATTTTTGTTCCGATTTCAAAAGACTTGTGAAGATGGCGACTTCAGTTGGAAACGTGGCTGACAGCACAGGTAAATACGGCTTCTGTCGTTCGCTTGCTCAATTAAATATTAACTTGAGATTGAATGAACAGCAAAGTTTAGTTTGGTCTTCTCCTAAACTAGCCTCATACGACTGGAGAGTAGGTAAAAGACGAGATGGAATATTTTTTTGGACATGAAGCGGTTGCTTTGTGTTCGAATCCCTTTTAAATTCGACTTGTATGGGGATTAAATTTACAAACTAGTAATATACCACTCCCGAAACCGGGGGGGTATTGATACGAGAATGGATGTTCATGAAACCAGAACAGGGGCTGCATTGTGTAATTGGACATTTCTTCATTGCGAGATGCACAAAACAGTGAAAATGATTCCGACTCGCACAGCCCTCTGACATAGGTCGAAGCAGAGTTTAGGGGGGGAAAATGAATGCAGTTATGATAAAGTCCACTTGAAACTGTGGTATTTGTATTTCTAAAAGGCATTGCAGTACAGCGGCTTTTAACCTTACTAAACAGTATGGCCAGAACCATCTGTAAAAAAAACAAACCCGGAGAGGCCTGCTTGTTTAACTAGCTGGCTAAACCTCGCTTGTGTGTGCGAGTACCTGCAAACGGAGCGCTGACGTCATCTCTGCCGGACAGCTCGCTGGACTGCGGCCTCTGCGCTGTTGCAGAACCACACGATACGAAGAAGCGTGGAGACACGCCTGGGCCAGTTTGTCGTTAATCTGCTTGTGGGCACCGTGCACCTCGCGTCCGGCAGCCCAGTTGACCCGGCCCTTTTCACCCACGAGTTCGCATAACATAACGTTTTGGCGGGTTTAGACAAACCAGGGACCGTCTAGTAACTCACCGAGCTTGCATAGCGCAGAAGCGTGTGTTTCGAGCGTCTTGTTTTCTTTTTACTGAAAGGCGCTTAAAGTAGCGAGACGTCCCTCCCAATCGTCCTTTGTCTCGGGTATTATACGCACGTTAATTCGTCCAGATCGGATCGTCCCTGAAGTGCTGGTGTGGCTTATTTTCTCTAGATCTCTTTAAATCTCCAGCACTTAATTGGGTCTAAATAGTTGATTTAGGTAATTAAGAGGTGGAACGAAACAGCCTGATTTCGTTTTTTACAGGTTTAGGTCACATCACGCTCAGAATAGGCGCTATGCACTGAGCTCTGCAGCATAATATGATTAATTTGAACTCTTGAATTGTTTTTACTTCATAATCATGGTGGAAGTTGCCTTCTTGTGCAGGTAACCCACGATCTCCTACCTTTGAGCAGATTTAAATTGTGAGGTTTAAGGATTCGTTTAAGTACATGCGCTGAGTTGGAAACCAGCAGCAGTGTGATTCTGGGGGTCCTGTACTGTGTAACATTAGTGGAGGTGTACGTCTTTTGTACAGCTACTGAAGTAATGTTTAATAGCTAACGAGTACATTAAATCACACTACTATGTTGGAAAGATGAAGAATTCTTTTATATTCATGTAGACCGCACAAGTTAGGTGGTTTCTCATTCAGTTTTCAGAATTTACTTAAAATGACCTGTTCATGTTCATATCCCTCTGGTACCTGTTGGTGTGCATCTATTGTCCCAGATAATGAATTAATTACTTAATTACCCGTGTTGAGTTCAGTGCAGCAGCTGTTGTAGTTAATTACAAAGTATGCACTCTGTATGACTGAGTATAACCATGTATTCCTGAGCTGTTTAGGTTCTGCAAAGGTGTGGACTGCAGTCCATCTGGCTTGTACTGAATAGAGCAAACAAGGAATCACTCACCATCTGTGTAAACTCCATATACCACAGTAGCAAAGGGCTTCTTCTGTGTGCTTACCCTCTGTTGTCAATATCATTTGTTCACTGTATTGCCATCATTTCATTATCGGTATACATAATATATTTCCATTCTCATTTTTGGGTCATTTTATCCTCAACCTTATTTTGTTAATATGTGCAAATCTCTGATGTAATGTATTAAAGTTGATCCAGGGTGTAAGATGACAAGGTGGTATAGTGCTAACAGCATTTCAGGTAATTTGACAAAACCTGTGAAATTGGCAACCGTTAAACATTTTCTGGGGAGTGTGTTTTGCTTCTCATATTAAAATTTACTTCTGATTGAAGTGCTGTGTACAATTTGTGAAGAAGAATGAGGTTTAATGGAAACCAAATTTGAGTTTCAGCTCCATTAGTACTTTCTAAAGGCAACAACATACAATTGTGCCATAAAACGGCCTTGATGTAAAAAAAAAAAAGTTGGGTAGTTTCATGGATTGTTCCAACTGGGCAAAATGTGTTTGAGCATGATATAGCTGTGCAGGTAAGACATTGGATAACATTAAAGTTGTCCAGATCAGTGCTGTTCTATGTTTCAGAACATTTCATCCTCATTTTAAGTTTTAACACCCTGTTTTACTGAATGTTCTACATTTAACCTTTTGCTTTTTTATTTTGATTCTTTGTTTTCATGTTTGATTTTTTTTTCTCCATTTGTTCTAACGTGTTGTTTTCCCCTCCTCCCCCCCCTGGGTTGTGTTGGTGACTCTGCTCCAGAACCGACAAAACGTATGCTTTCCTTCCAAGGGTTGGCAGAGCTGGCGCACCGGGAGTACCAGTCCGGTGACTTTGAGGCGGCCGAGCGCCACTGCATGCAGCTGTGGCGGCAGGAGCCGGACAACACCGGCGTGCTCCTGCTGCTCTCCTCAATCCACTTCCAGTGCCGCCGGCTGGATAGGTAAGGGCAGGGGCCCCAGTGCAGGCTGGGAGAAGCACGGGACGGCACCTGTCCAGTTCTGGTCCTGGGGGGGGGGCTGGTGCGACACCTTAACCCCGGTTTTATCTCGTTAACGAGCCGAGTTGGAATCGAAACTTGCAGACGCACTGGTCCTCCAGGACCAGAATTTTAGAACCCTACACTCAAGTGCACTGCTGTCCTGGAGCTGCACTGTTCCATATGGAATCAAAAAGGACCCCCTGGTGCTTTCCGGTGGGGTCATCCGAGCTTCACAACCTGCAGGCTGGTATGAAGCCAGAATCGGGCTCTAGATGTTTCATTTTTGTTATCAATTGGACATTGTATGGACTGATATGCTGGTTTAGAGCAGAGTTATGGACTCTATATATTGCTGATTCGTCAGCAAGCTTTGGAAAGAGTTTGAGCCTCGGCATCATCATGAACTGGGGGGGTTAGATTGGCTTCTCTCTGTACACTGGGAGCTGGACTCTGGATTTCACAGCTCTACTGCTACACGTGGTCCCTTAGTCCTCTGAATTCTTTATTCTGTCGTGCTTCCATTTTTATGTACCTTTGTTTACAGCGTCTGATAGCGGTCACTCCCTGTTTCCCCGTTTGTCCTTTTTTTAAAAGTCTTTCAGCTTTCTCACCAACCTTTGCTTTCTTTGTCTGTACAGCTGGTTAAGGTGTTTTGTTTATCTCCTTTTCGGGGCCTTTCGTGCTTATTTTAAACGTGTGTTCCGTTAATTGTTTGTTTTTTTTCTCGCTTAACCTTTAACCTCTCCCTTCCTTGGCTTCCTACTAATCCCGTTTTAAAATCCCTTTGTCTGGCGGGAGCAGTGTTTCTGGGGCAGACCTTGCTTGGTCTCTTTAATACCGAGCCTTTTATGGAAAAGGAGGTTGGGGTCATGTTGAACATCGTCGACTCTTTGAACAGTGATGCTGGAGTGAACGGTTTATCATTAGCACACGTGTAGATTGGGAAAGTATTGTAAATGTGAAGCAAGTAATCTGTCCAAAGTTGGAGAGCACATTTAAGAAATTTAGGGGTAGAATACTACAGACTATACGTTGTCCTTTTATGGCATTTTTGTATTGGTGTTTAGGCTGTTACTATGAAAAGCTGTGTTGTTAGGGTCTCCCTCTGTTTGAGCTGAAGTCTTGAGTTACTCTCCCTTTCCTCCCCTACCTTCTCTCTTGTCTGCAGGTCGGCTCATTTCAGCACACTGGCCATCAAGCAGAACCCCATGCTGGCAGAGGCCTACTCCAACCTGGGCAACGTGTACAAGGAGCGCGGGCAGCTGCAGGAGGCCATTGAACACTACCGCCACGCGCTGAGGCTGAAGCCGGACTTCATCGATGGATACATCAACCTGGCCGCTGCACTGGTGGCTGCAGGGGACATGGAGGGAGCTGTGCAGGCTTACGTGTCTGCCCTGCAGTACAACCCGGTGAGTGGGCTGGCACTTTCACGCGCGGGCTCTCTTTCTGCACTCCTGAAGTGGCGATCTCGCCGGTAGAGGGGCGACGGTGTAGAGCCGCGGTTACGAGTCTGGGCTTCTGGCTCGGAGGGTTGGGGGTTCAGTTCCTGCTGCTGGTGCATGTCACCTTGAATGCTCCAAGAGACCAAGCTGTATCGATGGGTGCAAAAAAATATTTACATGACAAAAAAATGAGTACTGGTTCGTTTTCTAAGGTACTTTTTCATAGAAATGCATCTGTCTGGATTCAGAATCGGGCAATAAATCCGTAGAGGTAAAGGTTGCATTGCTCGGATTGGGGCGATTAGTGGAGTACCACAGGGACCATAGCTTTCATATCAGTGATCTCAATTCTGGTGTAGTTGTACTTGTATAAACACTTGGTAGTTGGAATTTAATGTAGGCAAGTACAAGGTTTTGTATATCGTTAACATGATAAAAGGGGAAAGTTCACTAGATGAGGCTGTTTAAAGAAAATGACTCGGGTTAGTGCGGACATAAATCCATTTACATCTTCTAGACCGATGTGTGGGGAAGCAAAGAATATAAAGCTTTATAGTAGAAAGAGCAGAATCGGGATGCTTGTTATGTTAAAGGAGGCATTACTAGTGTGTTTTAAAATTGTGTACTGTTTTGGTCGCCATGTTCTAAAAAAGATACGGCTGATCTTGAGGAATCAGGACAGGCTGCAAGAACTGAATCTTTTTAGTCTTGAGTACAGAAGACTACAAGAGGACGTGATACAAGTATTCATAACCCACAGAAACGCTGACGGTTAACACAGTTGACTGCAGTCTGTTATGTTGATAGGTGCATGGCGTTGTGTCTGAGATCGAGTATGAAATGGAAAGCGCATTCATCTGGGAAATGAAGTGACGGCCTTATCCGTTACAGTTTTGGGGTATCGAGTTGCCTTGTGTAACCCACTGTGCATTTTGTATTTCAGGATCTCTATTGTGTACGTAGCGACCTGGGGAATCTGCTTAAAGCCCTAGGGCGTCTTGAAGAGGCCAAGGTAGGTTTTTCTGGTCAAGGCTTGGTCACTTTCCTTTTTTGTTTTAATTTTATTTTTTGGTTGTAGTCAAACATTCTCAGCCTGGTCCCTGCCATTTTGTTTTCCGTCCTCACCTCTGTGGAGGGTGTGTAGGCAGCACCTCCTTCGCTCTCTCCCCACTTTGTCTCTGTCTGTCTCTCAGGAGGGCAGTTTTTGCAGGGGGTGCTCTGTTGTAGTCCTTTGCTACACCCGGTCTTCCCAGTGGCCTCCAACCTTTACAGCTCCACTTAGGCTGGGTTATCCGTGGCTGGGCAGCCATGAGCTGAGACCCAGGCCCAGCAGGGCAAGTCACCTCTCGGTATCTCTCATAGTCCTGGCCAGTGCTTAGGGAGAAGTTGAGAGAAGCCCCTTCTCCCTCTGGCCTTTCTTTAACAAACAAGTGGAACTTCCTTAAACGGGTTAGTTTGCTCGTTCCCTTTTTTTTTTTGTAAGTGGGCTTTATAATAAGGCTGGTGTGTGGTGCCTTTTCACTTTTTTTCCCCTCCTCTAGTTTCCCCTTCCCCTAAAGAAAATCAACCACCAGATTTTTTTTTTATTATTCGAAGAAGTACAGAATAGGTGCTTCCCTCCTGTTCCTCAAACTCCCCTTCCCCCTCTTTCAGACTCGTATCTGTTGCTTCACCCTGGCTTGACGACTCTTGTCGGCGCCTTCCCAAGCAGGAAGAAAGGCTGAATCTGAAAACTAAACATTTTCCAAACACCAAATTTTAGCATCAGGCTCGAACTGTGTTCATTTCTTCCGGAGGGATAATGCTGGCTCGGTCTTGAGGATATAAATGGACTGATGAAGTTAGTGATATTTGCCGTAAAAGAAATAAGATGGCTTCTAACCCACCCTTTCACGTAAAAACAAACTGTACCACTCGTTTGTCCCCCCCCCTCCCCTTTGCCCCTTTCTTTATGAAATGGTGTGGGAGCAGCTGTGTGACTCTGCAGCGGCTGTTGGATTGGCCGTAGGATGGAGCCGCTGGAGTCGGCTGCTGTGTTGCTCCTCTCGCCGGTTACAAGCCATCTTATTCCGTGCCTGAGGGGGGAAGAGCGGGGGAAGAGTGCGAGGGTGCTGCCGGCCCCCCCCTGCTCTCTCGCTCGAAACCCCGCGCGCCGGCTTAGGACCCGTGGAGTGCCCGCGCGCGAAGAGCTGTCTGCCTGGCGACACCGGCCAGGCGCTGGTCAGGGCTAAGCCCTCTGGCTCAGCCAGGCCTGAACTCGGGGGACACCTCTGCCCAGAGATTCCCCTTCCAGCCCCGTTTCCCAGCCCTCCACACCAGCACTGCCCCTCTGTTGGGAAGACGGCCACCGTTTATAGAGCTGCTGGCCTGTGTGTCGCTGTGGAAAGAGTGAGGCTGTCGGTCTGAACTGGAAACCTCAGTCAGGCCCGTGTCCCCTTCACCTAGGTTCCCCGGCTGTTGCCTCCTGCTGTGCCAGGCACACAGCTCGCACTTGGCACTCCACTGCACGCTGCAGTCGCTGGGATAGTAAGAGAGAACGCGCGCGCAGCACAAGCGTTGACCTCTTTATTTCAGAGCTGTGGAGGCTTCTAGATACAGAAATTAAATGCAAGATTTTTTTTTCTATCCATTGGCCAGGATTCAGGAAAGCAGGACAGGAAAAAGAGTGAGGTATAAAGCACAAAAGCTAAAAACAAACAAACAAAAAAAAAAGAATGATTTTTAATTTTTTTTCTGTTTCTTTCCCAGTCCACGATGATTATTCTTTCTGATTACCTGTGATCAGTTCATTTGGTGAAGATCAAGCCAGTTAGCCCCCCTTCTATTTTTCAGACCAACCAAGTCGACACATTCAGGTTTTTTTTTTTGTTATGTAGAATTTAAATTCAGAACAAACCAAAGCCTTTCTTCTCTCATGGTCCTTTTCTGAGCATCGCCCCCATTTCCCCCCCAAAAAAAATTGAAAACCAAACTTAACCTGCATGATTGGAAACTAAAAACAGGCTGATTTTTTTTTTTGGTTCTTGTGGAATTAGGCTAGTGGCTTCAGTGTTTTTTTTTTTTTGTCGTTTGTTTCCATAAAAAGAGAATGTACTGTTTGCAGACTTTTACTAACGCTCTTGTTTTCTTATTTTGTCTCTTTTGGTTTTTACCACTGATATTGTTATTTAGAAGGTTTCAGGTGGGTGACTATTCCTGCGTAGGTGCCTCGCGGAAAGGAACGCTAGGGCAGCATCAGTCCTCACCTCCTCTTCCAGCCTCGGCCGCCCTCGACAAAGTCGAAAAATATGGTAACGGGTTTGTAACTGCCACCAAAAGAAACGCACAACACTCCATGCCTGAGTTCTTCTGTCTTGTGGCTTCCATTTGAAACCAAGTAACTTACAAGCCAAGAGCAAAAGCAGAAACAAAAAACCCAGTAATGTGCTTTTATTTCAATACATAGCTTTAGCCACATTTCTCTCATGTGAGATAAAAGATGAATTGGCTTTAGTTCTAAGTAGTATTGAAGAAAAAGTAAGAACCTTCTAACTCTCCTGCTCGTTAATTATTTTTTTTCCTTTTTATTTTGGGATTTATTCTTCTTGATTTGGACTTGCAGCGTTCTGCTGGCCAGGTGATGCGCCGTGAGTCTGCAGTAGCGCACAGGCTGCGCAGCGACCCCCCCTTGTGGCAACGCGCGGCTCCGCGAGACTCTCGGCCCGGCAGCTGCAGACTGCCCGTGCCGGCCCCCACCAGCGTGTCACCGAGCGGCCTCTCCACGCGAGCGCGGGAAAGCAATTGGGCCTCGCTTGCCTTTAGACACCATCAGGGAGCCCCTGAGCGTACTGTTTCGTTTGACACGATTGTCCCACACTAGAGCTCTTTGACCGGCTCTGTCCATTCACATCCCGTCCGAGCTGGAGGGGCGCAGAGCGTGTGCCTAGCTGGTTTGGGGTGCCCGGTCCCGGTCTGCGGTCTGCGCGCAGAGCCAGAGTTGGCGCCAGCGGGACGACTCTTGGTGTGGTCGGCGCAGCGAGCGACAGCAGCAGAGAGCAGCGCCAGCGTGGGTTTTTTGCGCACGCATTACAGGGACCTTCATCCGCACACAGCACGTGGCATTTGAGGTTGTGGGACTATCTAGGCCCACCCAGGCGACCCCCTTCCTCTGCTTAGGAATTGCGAAGCCGATCTGCCACGTTAAGGAAGGACTGGTCTGCAGACACCGTAAAGGAAGTTTAAAATGAGGTTTAAAATGTAGTCGCCAGCACGAATCCAAAATGTGTTGTTGTAATTAAGGTTTTAAATTGACACCCACTTCCCGGTATTCTGACGTCCATGTGTACATCGCGGTGTGCAGGGGGTGTTGGAACAGGGACCGGCCTTCTTGCGCGGGACTCGGCGAGCGCTTGACTGAGCTCGCTCCATAACTGAAGAATGGCAGTCTGTGTGTGGGTGTGGGTTGGATCCGCGCAGCGCAGGGAAAAAGCAAGCGGCTTAGCGCGGCAGTGACACTCGCGCATGCTAGCCTATACTGCAGACTCACTTTTTGGCTTTGTCGAGAATGAACACTAACGGTTATTTTCTCTGCCCTTTTTTTTTTCTTTCTTCCTTTTTTTTATTCAATCTGTTTTTTTTTTGCGTTTGTTTTTCATTTATTTTTATAAATCTTCCTTACCCCCCCCCCCTCCTCCAACCCCCCACGTCTCCAATTCCCTGCTCCCCTCTTCCTCTTCCTCTCCTGATTTCATTGTTAACCCTTTCAAGGCCTGTTACCTGAAAGCCATAGAAACCCAGCCCAACTTTGCGGTGGCTTGGAGTAATCTGGGCTGCGTGTTCAATGCCCAGGGGGAGATCTGGCTGGCCATTCACCACTTTGAGAAGGTGAGCAGCAGTAGTTGTGTTGTAACTGGACAGGGTTTGGTTTTGACTACAGTATCGATCTGAAGTCTACTACTTATATGCGTGACTGTGAAGTAGGGCTGAAACGATTATTCAATACAGCCGTCAATCAAAAATCTGTCAACCAAATATTTCCTTTGTCGTTTTTTCGTTTACATTTTAAATCGGGCCTCCAGCGAGTTAATGACTTCACCTGAAGAGGGCAGCGATGTTGCTATAAAGATAAAACTGGTTAGGTGGTTGGGTAGATGAGTGATTAACTACATGTTTGTTTTTATTGTCACGCCTGACATGTGGACATGTTGACTTTTAAATATTTGCATGTATAACTGGACATATAAAGTTCTTACTCTCAATGTTCTTTTTCTTTTTTTATAGTTCCCTTTATGCTTTTATCTGAACAGTGTATTAGTGGCCATGTGTGTTCGTAAGTGTGTGGAGTCCTGCCTGGTCCTGGTCAGGTCGTCATGTCTGTGTTCTGTTTCAGGCTGTCACTCTGGATCCCAATTTCCTGGATGCTTATATTAACTTGGGCAACGTGCTGAAAGAGGCTCGTATCTTTGACAGGTAATGCTCGTTTACCTTCTCAGACGTTGTAGGTTGGACGCATCTCCCCTGCCTGGTCCTAGGTTTTGGTAGCTGGATTAAATGAATCAGCATTCTGTCACTGTGGCCCTTTGGAGAGCTAGAAGAGAGTAAGCTGACAGTCTGCATTTAATAATTGTGATGACAGTTTGCTTAAAAGTCATGTTAGTATGACAGAGGGGTTGTTCTTAATTTCTTTAGTATTCTCTTCTCCCTGACGAAATCTACAAATCATCTTTAGTTACTGGTTTTCGTTAAAATCATCTTCCTTTGATGTGCCGTGCCACATTTTTAGCTTCGTCTTTCAATTATATCTGTATCTTTTTCTCCACAAGCTTAGTTTCACATTAGCACGCCATCTTGAGCAGACTAATCAAGGGTAGTTGAAATGCATTCTGTACCGTTGCAGGGTTGACGTTATTTTTTTTTATTGTACTTTAAAGGAGACCGTTTTACTATAGACTAGAACGGTGTGGTTTATGATCATCCTTGCTTTGGCTTGTGTGTGGTTAGGGTGCGAGAACTTAGTTCCTGTCCCTGATGCTATGGTGCTGCTGTTTCTCTGTCCTTGCAGGGCTGTGGCGGCCTACCTGCGTGCGCTGAGCCTGAGCCCCAACCATGCCGTGGTGCATGGGAACCTGGCGTGCGTGTACTACGAGCAGGGCCTGATTGACCTGGCCATCGACACCTACCGTCGCGCCATTGAGCTGCAGCCTCACTTCCCGGATGCCTACTGCAACCTTGCTAACGCGCTGAAGGAGAAGGGCAATGTAAGGAAATCCACAGAGAGCGTACGTGCACACTGCTCCATGCCTTTTTTTCTGTACATAAAACCTGTGTTCTTTTTGTTTTTGTATCATAGTGTGAAGTTTCCAAAGGACATTATATTCCAAATTAAACCATTGCCAAAGCTTGGCCTGATAACTTTGAATGTTGCCTAAAAACCGTAGATGTCAGGTTTGCGCTTTAGATAGCCTCGTTATTTTCTTGAGGTGCCTGGTCAATTGTTGTAAGTAAATGATGGGCTCTGACAGACTAGCTGGCAGAGCTGTTTTTGTTTTAAGACCTGCCCTGCTGGTATTTTTAAGTGGATCCTCTGTTTCACACCAGCTAGGTGAAAGGTACTTCTGTGCCCTCAGTGTCTTTTTTTTTTTCTTTCTGCGAGCCAGGTGTCGGAGGCAGAGGAGTGCTACAACACAGCTCTCAGGCTGTGCCCGACGCATGCAGACTCCCTCAACAATCTGGCCAACATCAAGAGGGAACAAGGCAGCATCGAGGAGGCTGTCCAGCTCTACAGGAAGGCCCTGGAGGTGAGTCTGCGCATTGACTCTTTGTACGAAACTGAAATACTTGGCGACTCTGTGTATTAGCACTTGCTGGGAATTGTAAAACAACGCTTGGAGACTAGAACTGCATCTTTTCAAGTAACTGAAAATCATAAGCAAACGCCACAGTTACAGTGCACTGAAGACAATCCAGTCTGTCCATAAAATCCATTGGAAACTGGTATTTAAAAGAGAAATTGTTTTGATCATTGCACTTTGGAAGGATTCAATGTGAAGCCTGTGTTGATTAGCTTTCTATTTGCCGTGTGAAAGAAGAGATTGTGTTTTGACTCTGTAAACTCTGTGGTCACAGGTGTTCCCAGAATTTGCAGCGGCCCATTCCAACCTGGCCAGTGTCCTGCAGCAGCAGGGAAAACTGCAGGAGGCCCTCATGCACTACAAGGAGGCCATCAGGTAAGAGGACAAACATGTATTGCTTTGACTTGCTGGTGCAGAGCCCTCCCAGATTGCTGGTCTTTTCAGATTTTCTCCACCAGAAAAGCTTCTCTCACAATGTTGAATAAATTCCATTCAGTGATTATCTGAGATGTGAAGTTTGTTCTATATTGTGAGTGCGAATGTATTTCTGTAATGGAATAAATGTTGGAGTGGAGACCTGCAACAGCGTGCATGCTGCAAAAGAACAAGTAGAACAAGTTAATTTGAAAACTAGAAAATGAGAATCCAAAATGTTTTTTCCAAAGCAGTTCTGATTCAGCAGGTTGGTTCCTTGTTTGACTCTCAGCTGGAATTGATCAATTACTGCTCGTTATTGAAAATGAATCTGTTACGCCCTCAGGATCAGCCCTACCTTTGCTGACGCATACTCCAACATGGGGAACACGCTGAAAGAGATGCAGGACGTACAGGGGGCTCTGCAGTGCTACACACGAGCTATCCAGATCAACCCTGCTTTCGCGGATGCACACAGCAACCTGGCCTCCATCCACAAGGTACTGCTCGCCTCACAGCTTGTGAGGGTTCTCTCAACGGGGTTTGGTGTGTTGGTCTTGTAGATTTGTTTTTTGCTTTTGTGTTAATCTTTTTTTCTCTCTCTCTAGGACTCTGGAAATATTCCAGAAGCAATTGCATCTTACCGCACTGCTCTAAAGCTGAAGCCGGACTTCCCTGATGCTTACTGCAACTTGGCTCACTGCTTGCAGGTAACGTCCCTGCTAGACAGGGACACTAACCTTCCCTCTCCGAATTTCTTCACGCATTATGGTGGTGATGTGACTGACAGATATGCTTGACTAGTAATGGCCTCCCTAATGGCTCTGTATCCTCCCTCTCAGATTGTGTGTGACTGGACAGACTACGATGAGCGGATGAAGAAGCTGGTGAGCATTGTGGCTGATCAGCTGGACAAGAACCGTCTGCCGTCGGTACACCCCCACCACAGCATGCTGTATCCTCTGTCCCACGGCTTCCGCAAGGCCATCGCGGAGCGTCACGGCAACCTCTGTCTCGACAAGGTATTGCCCTTGAGAAGACATTAGTGAAGCAAGCATCACCTCGACCTCTGCAATAGGCAGTTATTCCCTAGCCTGTACCTGGATGCCCAGTTTTCAGCATGCTTGCCGCAATGAGTTGAACAGCCTAGTTATTGGCACTCAAGAGGTTAAAGGTCATACTTTTAAAGGACCTGTATGAATTCCTACCAGTCCTGCACACACATTCACTGATTTGAGGAAATCAGACAACTTTAATCCTCATCCCTCAATCTTGAGTATTAACTATTAATCCGTTTCCCTTCTTCAGATTAATGTGCTTCACAAGCCCGCTTATGAGCACCCGAAGGACCTTAAGGCCAGTGGGGGGCGCCTGCGTGTTGGCTATGTCAGCTCAGACTTTGGCAACCATCCTACCTCCCACCTTATGCAGTCCATCCCTGGTATGCACAACTCCGAGAAGTTTGAGGTGAGAGATTAGCCGAGGATGTTTATTTAGATGTAAATATTTTCAGACTCGTCAGGGGCGTGGGCGTGTCAACATGTCTAAACCCACGTCTGCCTCCCTTCCCAGGTGTTCTGTTATGCACTTAGCCCCGACGATGGCACAAACTTCCGTGTGAAGGTCATGGCTGAAGCTCACCACTTCACAGACCTGTCCCAGGTACGTTCTTTGGCTCTTTTGTCCGTTTGTGCCTTAGTTCTCTACATTTACGAGTACCTGGGGGCCTCTTAGATTACCCTCGTTCTTGTTTCTCCTCTAGATCCCCTGCAATGGGAAGGCAGCTGACAGGATCCATCAGGATGGCATTCACATCCTGGTCAACATGAATGGCTACACCAAAGGAGCACGGAACGAGCTGTTCGCCCTTCGCCCTGCACCAGTCCAGGTATGGGAACCGGCACACTGCTGCTCAGATTGCATTTGTGCTCTGTAGGATGTCATAGTGGCTACTTATCCTCGAAAAGTAATAACTGCATAAATATAATGGAGTTGTGGCCCCTCTACCCCCCCCGCCCCACACACCACTGTCTTTGCTATTTTGGATATGCATTGAATTAAGAGCTGGGTGTTAAAAGTTAAAAATGTAAGGTTAAAATTCCAAGCAACTCATTCACCAGGCATAAGAGTTGTTAAGTGGTTATTAGCATAAATGTAAGAAAAACCTGAAATCCCTTAACCGTCCCTGGCCTGGTTAGACGCAAAGTTGTCTACGTCTGCTCTGAAATTCCCTTCTCCAGGCATTCCTCAGCCACTACAACGCACCTCTTCTTTTAGTTATGTTGTAGCATATCTCTGTAGAAGATCACCTAACCAAATCTGCTAGGTGAAAGAAGAGTATTGAGCATAGGTCTGGGACTTTAAGTGGATGAGTTAAAATACACTCCACTGTTCTTTAGCACAGAAGCAGAGCTTGAGCCTTATTATTGGCATACTAGTGTAAAGGACAGTTTGTATCTGTCTCTCGGGAACAATGCACGTCTCTCACTGCTGTGAACCAGCTGCCTGATGTCTGCTCTTCCTTCTCCTTTACAGTCCATGTGGCTGGGCTACCCTGGAACCAGTGGGGCCCCCTTCATGGATTACATCATTACTGACAAGGAAACCTCTCCCCTGGAGGTGGGAGAGCAGTACTCGGAGAAGCTGGCCTACATGCCAAACACCTTCTTCATTGGAGACCACGCCAACATGTTCCCACATCTCAAGGTGAGAATGGGTCCTGCCTGCCGACCAACTGTGTGCATCTGGTTCCAGATCCACATTAGTTTCAAAACTGAGTTAGGGTTTTCTTCAGTGCTGTTCTTATGGAGCATTATTTGATGCAAAAAGATGCACCAATTTCTGAGTGAAGATTATTGTTAGAACAGTTCGCAATTGTTAGATACTGGTCTATACTGCGGCTCCACTGCCTCTGCGTTGGGTGATTTTATTTGCATTGCACACTTTCACAGAAAAAGGCAGTAATTGACTTCAAGTCCAATGGGCACATCTTTGACAACCGCATAGTGCTGAACGGGATTGATCTGAAGGCCTTCCTGGACAGCCTGCCTGATGTGAAGGTGGTAAAGGTGAGAATTCAGATTTGGCCAGTGTGGTGCTCCTTGGTGTGGTACTTTTAGTAGAATTAGGATTTAGTGCGTGACTGGATAGCACACTGAAAATGAGAAGAATAGCTCCCATTTCAGAATGCATGACTGATTTTTTAATTTACTGCTGATTTGAGTCCTGTAACTAAATAAAAGTCATATTTGCATAAATGACTTGAGCTCTCTCAGCTCTGTTGGAATGTCTGTTTGATTTTCATTTCCTCATTTTCCCAATTACTAAACGTAAGTTCTATAGTGTATTTCTTGGCGAATCCAGCTTGTCCTCTGGAGTGGAAGCTTCAGTAATAAAATGTAGTCTGGTATGACCATGATGTACTTCTGGCCCTTCACCCTCACTTTCACTTCCACCCTACAGCTGAAGTGTGAAGCCCAAGAGAGCACAGACAGCAACTCTGCCCTCTCCATGCCTGTCATTCCAATGAATACTGCAGCCGAGGCCATCATCAACATGATCAACCAGGGCCAGATCCAAGTCACCATCAATGGCTTCACAGTCAGCAATGGGCTAGCCACCACTCAGGTATGACACTGGATGTAGCACCCCCTATTGGGGGGAGGGGGGTCAGTGTCCTACTCTCCCCGCACTAGCTGGGAAAACTGGGTTTACATTCATTTGCAACAAAACGTGTGGGAAGACCTTTTTGAAAACATTTGACATTAAGAAGTCACCTTTTGTCTTCCAAATGACCTCCTGGAGCAGTTCATGACTTAAGTGTGCTAGAAAAACTTGCCCTGTTCAAAGCAAGGGGTACACTGTGGTCTTAACTTGATAGATTTCATTCCTCTTTTTTTTGTTGACTTGATCCTAGGTTCGTTTCAAAGCAGCCTGACCGTTACTACCGGAAACTGCTGGTTACTGGTCTAGTCTTGGTTTGCATCTACATGGACTCCAGGCATGTTCAGTTTTGTAGTGCTATGCTGAACATCATGTAGCTTGGAGTGTGTTTAATGAAGAGAAGAACTTAATGTGCAAATGCACTCAAACCTTGTCCTTTTGAAGATGTGACCATGGAATATGAATTACTCACTTCATTCCTCACCTTGCAGAGCTACACATGGACTGTGCTGTGCCCCCTCTACTGTCATACATACACACTGTACAGTTCAGCTTTGAAATCAGTTGTTGCTGTTTTAAAAAGAACCATTTCTGCAGCAGTAGGAACACCGTCTGACCATCCCTCCTGTCCCCTGTGCTCTACCAGCCTGCTCACTGGCTCAGGTTCAGCCTTGATGCCGTATGACCACATATTATTGTCTTTCAGATATTTACAATCGAGAAGGTCAATGTATCGGGAACTTTAGCTCTGCAGGTACGCTAATCTTTCACTGAAGCGGTGATCTGACTCTGCATACAAATTTAAAGAGGTTCTCCTTTCTGAATGACCGACTGGAAGCTTGTGTATTACTATCACCCTGCCACTGTAGCCTCCTGAAGTGTTGGGCTCTCACGTCACCCTGGTGTCTGTAGAAAGGCTGCTGGCTGTGGGGTTGCCAGACAATCAGACGTTTGGTAGTAAGGTATAACAATATCATGTAGTCATGTAGTAGCATTGCACAGGTGCTGTTCTTCAAGCACCCAATCTCTCTGGTATTAGTGACACCGAAACTGGCCACTTTCCCTGACCTCCTCGCCGGCTTGTCTCCTGCAGATCAACAACAAGGCAGCAACGGGTGAGGAGGTCCCCCGCACCATCATCGTCACCACGCGCTCGCAGTACGGCCTGCCGGAGGATGCCATCGTGTACTGCAACTTCAACCAGCTCTACAAGATCGACCCTCCCACCCTCCAGATGTGGGCCAACGTGAGTTTTAGTATTGCTGAGATCGGCAATCTCTCTGTGTTTCAGTAGAAATATTACAAGAAAGTTTTCTGCTTGGTACCGAGTAAGCTTTGTATATGCATGGCCCAAACTGGTTTAGAAGGATGGGGGCATTGTGTCAGGTGCCGATAACGCGTGTGGATGTTTCTGTTAGCTGATGACACTGTGGTAGCTCTGTGTGCTTTGTTACTTGCATCTCAGCTGCATATATCTGTCTGTCGCAGATCCTGAAGAGAGTGCCAAATAGTGTCCTGTGGCTGCTGCGCTTCCCAGCTGTGGGCGAACCCAACATCCAGCAGTACGCCCAGAACATGGGTCTGCCTGCTAACCGCATCATCTTCTCACCCGTGGCCCCCAAGGAGGAGCATGTGCGGCGCGGGCAGCTGGCGGACGTGTGTCTGGACACGCCACTCTGCAATGGGCACACAACTGGCATGGATGTTCTCTGGGCGGGCACTCCCATGGTCACAATGCCAGGTAGGGCTGCAGGTTATGAAGAGAAGCACAGACTTGGCTTATACGTACTATCCAGGAGACAGAGAGGAGGTTTTCCAATTGTTTAGTCCTTATAAAGTAGCTTGTACCGATACAGTTCAGACTTTACCCATAAAATGACTTAAATTGTCCATTTTCCCTGAGCCAGGTGGTGTGGGTACCAGCCTACCTGAGCAGAGGAAACTGATCCTGAGCAGAAGTCAGGAGCTGCTGAAGGGGTCTTTGAGGACTAGGGACTAGAAGTTTTCAAGGCTACATGAAGCTAAATCCACGAGCTTTCTAGAGTGAGCAGTATTTCGATGAACACTGCCAGCATGTTACATGGGTGTTTCAAAGCTTTGAGAAAACTCCCGCCGCCAGTCTGCTTGGGCGGTACTCAGAGACATTAAGAGTTCCATATTCTGTTGCGCATTGTAGGTGTCCTTACCTCTCCCCAGCTTTTGACTGGTTTGAGTCTGTGTAATCGATGTTTTCTTCACCCTGCAGGAGAGACCCTGGCGTCGCGTGTGGCTGCTTCCCAGCTGACATGCCTCGGCTGCACCGAGCTCATTGCCCCAAACCGCCAGGACTATGAGGATGTAGCTGTCAAGCTGGGCACCGACATGGAATTGTGAGTCTTAATTCTCATTCACCTGAAATGCTTACCACACGTGCCTTCCGCCATTCAAAATATTAGCTGTCAGATGCTTTAGTGAATCGATCTTCTGATGGTTTTCAGTCCCTGTAAGAAACATCACCAATATTGTCATTCGTAAAGGGAGTGACAAGCATTTGACCCGCTTCATACAGCTTTGCTAGTGTTTGATTTCTTAATTGCAAAAACTTCATTTGACATTCCATGTCAATGGGGAGATACATTTGGCATCAGTAAGCAATAGAATTTAATTTTGCTTTACAAGCCATTTCTTTACTTCTGTTGTCTCTTATTATTCAGATAATGGAGATCTGAGTGTAGGATGTTCCCCGTTATCTTTGTAGTTGTCAGTTGTGTTTAGTCAGATCATTGGGTATGTCTGTCTGGGCGCTGTCTTTTCACTTTGGATTTCAACTCTTTGTCACCCCACAGCCTGAAGAAGATCCGTGCCAAGGTGTGGAAACAGCGCATTTGTAGCCCACTCTTCAACACCAAGCAGTACACCATGGACCTGGAGAAGCTGTACCTGCAGATGTGGGAGCACCACGCCGCGGGGGGCAAGCCTGACCACCTCTTTAAACTGAAGCCCATGGAGAGCAGCGAGAGCGCCTGAGCCGAGCACCGGCCCAGCCTGTACACCCTGCTGCTGCTGCAGTCTCTGCTCTGCCTTGTAATGCAGCCCTCCCAGACCACCCTCCTCTCCCTGTGGAAGAGACTCTCCCTCTGCTGGAGCCTTCCATCTGCAGCGTGACCCTTTTCCTGGTAGAAAAGAACTTGATCTCCTGAGAGCTGTGGGGGGGGGAGGTCTGTCTTGTACAGCACCTTAACTGAGACTTTTCATATCCTGCCATATCCTGGGGGCTGCTGGACAAGGGAGGTTTTTTTTCTTGGTGTTCCCAGAAAGCACCAGTTTTAACAGCGGGTGTACAACTATACTGATCTAGTGATTCATATGTGAATCCTTGTCCGCCAAATTGTGACTTCAGTCTTTTTTTTCTGTTTTATCTTTTTTTTTTTGAACCAGACATTCTGGATTTATAAGAATAGAAGGAGGGAATTACCAGGATGTACCCGCACAGATGATAAAGCTTTTGTTGAAGACGAATAATTTGTAAAAAAAAATCATCTTTAATGTGGATACAAAGTCATTTTTTAATTATTTTTTTTTCATCAGGTGTTTCACACACACCCTTTGAAGTACAGTCAGTATGTAGATGAGTTGCCTTTGGTGGTTGTTTTCTGTGCAGCTCTGGCTGGATGACGTTTTGTCACTGTTTTTGACACTCCGGCCATAGGAACTCCTTATAGGTCAGCATCTGGCCTGCTGCCTGCCCTCTTGGTGTCTTTGGTCTGAACTGGCGAGCAAGGAGCGATCTTGATTTTGTTCTGCACAGTCCCAGTACACACACTGTACTCGAAATGTCTCAGTCTTAACGTGAAACTGGGGGGAGGGGATGGGTTGTGGTTCCGATTTGGGAATATTGGAGAGAAAAAAAAAAACAAGCTCTTTTTTTAACCACATGCCAACTTTTTGTGAGTGTGTGTATGTGTGTATTAAAGATTTCCCCAAATTAATCATTCTTTCTTCCCTATATACTAAGATTTGTGCAAAAAACAACCAATCCGTTCCAGCCAAGTATAATTGTGGACAAAAATCAGTTTCTCATTTCGGAAAGGGCAGCCTTCATCTTACTAGAAGCATGGCTACTCTTTTCTTTTTCTTATCAGGAAAGGCCCAGGTAAGTATTTTTAAGCTCTTATTTTTTTTTACAATTTTTATTGAAGATCTGTGCTGTTGTCTTGCTTACTTCTGCTTCGCTTCACCATTGTGACTGTAGGGGAGACCTCTGCAAACGGCTCTACATCCTAAAGGGTATATTCCACGGATTACAACATTTTGTTTTATCTTTTATTGTTAAATCAATGTTAAGATATCGGTTACAGGAGTCATTTTATGGATTTCATACATTGTATAACTGGCTCTTGTGACATGGGGGGGAGAAAGTGGTCTATTTTTCTTTGGTACATTGATTTCTGTTCAGTCACAATCTAGTTTTTCAAAAAAGGTTCCAAAGAACGTTTGCCTGCCTTTAGGGGCACATTGAAAACAGGCCTTTGTATTGTGGAAGCAGTGTCCTCCAAATTACAACAGATGTTCACTTGTATGTTTTGGTCAGTGTCAAAACAGTAGATTCCTAGACTGAGAAAAGGGAATTATAACTCACTCTTGTGTGCCGTTTAACTGGGGCTCACATTAGATCAAGCAAAAACATCACCATATTTAGAGACTGAAAGCAGGCCGTACTTGAGGGTTATTTTGGTTCATTTGATTATTTCTTCTACCCCTTTCCACAGTGTTGTGAATCTTTTAAATCTTTCATCGTTATTTTTCTTTTTTGACAAATGTGAGCCGAAACAAATGGTAAGACTTTAAATACCACGCCAGGGCGGAGCTGTACAATTGTATATCCTTCTGAGATCTGTGTGAGACCTATAAAATGTCTTTTAAAAACCAATTTACTGCTGCTGTGCTTCCTTCAATCTGTTAGGTCTCTTGCAGTGTGGTCTTCAATCTTACGTGCCAACTGGGCTGTTGGTACATCACCATCTAGAGTGCAACTATAAATAAACTATTGGTTCCAAACTGAGTTGGTGTCCTTGTCTTCATTGCTGTACGTGTTGTCATGTATTCTACCCTTTCTGTACAACAGCTTATATTGTTGAAAGGACAAGAGAAGAACATTTCGAAGAGACTCCTTGACAGATCGTATGAAGCTAATGTGGTAAATACACTGTGATTGTGGAGTGGTACACAGATTCTGTCTTTGATCCTGATGCCTGTTAAGACTGGCTCTGATGTGAAGTGCTCTCCACTGTTTGTGCTGCCAGCGCTGAACACATCTTGCACTGTCACAGTTACTCATGAAGACCAACACCTTTCACTTGAGCTCTTTTGAATCGGGCTATACCCATGCGGCTCACAACCAGAGGGGCAAGGTAACCAAAATGTTACCTTGCCCCAAATATTATAGTAGAGTACAGAATAGTATGAACTTTTACTATATTATAAACAATAGTATCCGTTTTACGGATGTATTTCTGTCCAATTGTGGGTGTTGTGGAGAACATTCTTGAGGGAAAGGAACTAATTCAGCTCACTGCTTAAGGCCGGAGTTGACAAAACCCCCTCCTAGACACCAGCAATTTGACAGACTGTAACTCTATCCTAAAAACCATCTCATTGAAAAGACTTGGAATTTAACTGGATCCCCCAGAATGGTTAGATGTGATGAATGTAAAATTACAGTTGCTCACAACGTGTTTCATATGAAGTGAGCTGAGCCCAGCTTCATCAGTCAAAATTAGATTGTTCCAAGATTTAGAAATCCAGAGCGGCCTATATACGTGTTTAGATACGATGTAAAATGTATTCGTCAAGAAGTACAGTTAATGGATATGACCTAGTAGGAGAAACGTAATTCCCTGATCGAACTGAACTTTTAATGAGTCTGGTGCAATTATCCAGGTTACCGTACCCCGTGCGCAGGGGCCTAGGCAGGAATTGGTTTTTGGGTGGGCCTGTGCAAACGTGGGTGGCCCGGGCTCTAACTGACCGTCCTGCCAGCATAGGGGCACCCCTCCAATTCACTATGCAGTCCTCGAGCGGTATAATCAAACAGCAGAATTAGCGGAACCTTATATATTCTCTCTCTCAATTCAATTCAATTCAAGGTGCTTTATTAGCATGACCGATGGGTACAATCAGTGTTGCCACAGCAAATGAAAGTAATGATATTTACATTAAACAGAACAAAAAATAGAAGTATAATAAAATCTACAGACATTATAAAATATTTACATATACTGTAGGCGGCTGGAGCATTATTGGGAGACAGACTCACTGTTCCTCAGGCTGTGACAGGAGATCACATACTGGGCTGCCAGATCAACTGAGTTCCCTCCTCCCTCTCCCAGTAGGACAGGTTAAGCAGCACTTTACCTAGGCTTCTCACTGCCTCCTTCTGAAATAAACACGCGCACCGAAGGACGTGTAAAGATTCGACCCGTCAGTCGACCCACGAGTTCAAAAAGACTTGACTCTGCAACTTTAGAACAACAAGACCGCTGTCGCACTTTTTATGCCAAGCACATTCGCTAACGTGAAAAAGAACCAGGGTGAGGGTGTTTTTTAAGGGGCACTACATACAAGGTTGTCGCGGGTAGTAAATAACACATCCGAGAAGCGACACTGGAAAGTCCACCGCCTCACACCTGCGGACCGCAGCAATATTGGAAACATTTTTTTTTTATTTTCACAGAACAGAAGTGAACATGTATCTGAATTCTTTAATAAACTGTCATTATCAATGTGTTTGTATTTACAGGGGTCTTATGCGCAAACAGTCCTTTTATCTTTGTGTTTCCGGCCAGTCCTTGGTGTAGAACACAGCGTGAGGGCACACCTGCCCTCTGAAGACACAGGTGTGGGCGCCTGTGTTAGATCCTCAGGTGAAGTCGAGTCTTCTGCGGTCTGCAATGTAATGACCCAGACATATTTGCTTGTCCTGCTCCATGAAGATGCCCACCCGCCCGTCGAACTGCACAAACCACGAAACTCACCGCAATTGTTAATGCTGCGTTTGTGCCGGTTTGTGTCGCTGTAAGTAGCGTTTGTGCTGCTTTTATTTCCGAGATATAGCGCCTTGGTTTTTCGGGTAATCACGTGACTATCAACAAGGAAGTTATAATAATAATAATAATAATAATAATAATAATAATAATTGCTTACACTTATATAGTTTACAGGTACCAACAAACTCGGTACTTGAACTCCTCATTGTGTTGAAGACAACGGGGGCAATTTGACGCCACTCTATGACGTACAAAACAGCAAAGTCACGACCACTTGATCACTTGATCAGTTGACCCCAGACTTTGCAGCCTTTACGCGAATAAAGAGTCTTACATTTAGGGAGGAGATACTATGTTAGTTCATTGGGTTAGGTGTTTTCTTTTAAGTGTTAACCATGTTCTCGAAAATGTATCGCCTGTGTACTCCTTTCACTGGTGAAGAGACACCCGTTTCCAAATTACCGCTCGTACAACACAAGAGCCCATTCACATTTGTAGGTATTAGTTTCAAGATCGATATAATTTATCAATAAAAAACAAAATTGAAAGCACGGGCATAATAATATAATGATCACAGACTTTACATTTCTATTTATTTTTGAAGTACAAAGCAGAAGGTGTTTCCCCTACTTTAAATATACGATTAAAATTGTTCAAATACCATGTATTCGTTACGGAAAGCTGCGGAGACAGTTATATTGCAAATAAAACATGTATTTATTTAGAAGAGTACGGGACATTGCGAATCTTTACACAATAAGCTGATGTAGTTATTTTTCAAATAAATAAAGCATTTTAAACATAGATTCTCATTGACAGTAAACAAGCCGATCCACCTGGCGCTGCTGGCTTGAACAGCTCTCAGACCCGTGATTGGCTAAAGCCCCGAACAGGTCGGGCCGCGATTGGGTGAAGAGTGAGAATCGACACTCTGATTGGGTAAAGCGCCACAGCGGAAGTTCCGAGAACATGTAGATACACAGGTGATGGATTTTCTTCTTGGTCCAAATACTGTAGCCCCGGGTAACCGTGTGTGCTGTATGAGCACGCTGGATATACAGTAATTTCTTATTACTAATCAATCTAAGGGAAGTCGCACTGAGGTCAAAACACAACAGCAGACAAAGAATAGCATGTCACGATAGGAGTGCGCACATCACGATCACATTGCGATTCCCATTGCGACTGACGCATCACTGACATGGCGCTACTGTGGCGACATTAAGTCCATATATCGCGATATGGCGTACCCCCGACAAAACGCCCACTCCCCCATGTTGCGACATATATCGCGATATTGACAAGCACCCCCACGCCCATATCGCGACATGAAGTTCACATATCGCGATATGACATACCCCGGCAAAAATGCCCCGCCCCATATCGTGACATGAAAGACCCTATATCGCGATATGACCAAATCTGTCACGCCCATGTCGCGACATAAAACCCATATATCGCGATATGACATACTCCGCCAAAATGCCACGCCAACATGTCGCGACATGAAAGACCCTATATCGCGATATGGCCAAATCTGTCACGCCCATGTCGCGACATAAAGCCCGTATATCGCGATATGATATACTCTGCCAAAATGCCACGCCCACATGTCGCGACATGAAAGACCCTATATCGCGATATGACCAAATCCGTCACGCCCATGTCGCGACATGAAGCCCGTATATCGCGATATGATATACTCTGCCAAAATGCCACGCCCACATGTCGCGACATGAAAGACCCTATATCGCGATATGACCAAATCTGTCACGCCCATGTCGCGACATGAAGCCCGTATAGTCGTGATATACACTGCCGCGTACATGGTTATACATGGGGTCCGATATACATGGGGTCCCTATCATAACATGCTGCGGAGGTCTTGTCGCTATGGTATCCGGCAGTTACGCGTTTGGCAACAGCGTGTCATGGCAGGGAAAAAAAGGAAAACGTGCCTGAGAAAATAAAAGCCATAGATCTTACAATCACGGTGATTTTACATAAATTAAAACCACAGGTTTAAGTCATAGATGGCTAACTTGTTGGCATGCGTCATGTCTTAGTATTATTCACATCTATGGGGGCTCATATGTTTATGGATATTGATTGTCTTTAAAATGTTACGGGTACGAGCTAAACTGTAACAGAGCGCTTGAAGTCGGCAGACGGGGTCACTGGAGGTCAAAGTCGCCGTGCATGGTCACGTGATATCTCGGGAACGAAAGCAGCATAAACGCTACTTTCAACTGCACAAACCGGTACAAATGTAGCACTAATGAGGTGGGTTTCATCGTTTGTGCTGTCTGTAGGGGAGGGGCAACTTCACGGAGCTTTTAACTTGTCTTTATATATTCAGCGGACTTGAGCATAACATACCAGAAGAACGTGCACTTATGGGATTCAGAGGTTGGAGTAAATGCATCGCCCCAAGGGTAATATCGAGTGAGGCGCCATGAGATTAAAAACGACGAAGATCTTGTTTGATCCTTCATGATGCTTTTAAACTTGTATGAAACCCACGAAATTAGTATTCTATTTTCGATGCCAAAAGACACCTAATTTGGAAATTCGTGACTTCCCACAAGACTTAACACTGAATTGTTATAGTCGCATTACAGTGCTGACCAATTAATTGTACAGTACCTTTAATTGCAAGAATGGTCTGCTAATAAACGCGTCAAATATATATTTTAGATGTATTTTAGCTCTGAAAACGTCGTCCACTTACAACTGCGGGGCATTTAGAGGTGATCCGTAGAATGCACACTCGCATCTATCCGTCAATATTATCTTAGTGTTATTCATGCATTCCAAAACTTGTAATTTGTTAACAGGAGAAATTTTAGAACCTCTTCGGGAAGCCAGGCTGTACTCCTTAAAACCCAGGGTGCCTGTAGCATCTCATGTGTCTTAATTGTTTCGGGACTGGTCTGGTCATCTACAGGCGGCTTGTTGAAAAACGTAGATGTATGCATTTGTTTTGCCATGTTGGTTAATAAACCAAAAACCCAGCGCTAGATAGCTCTAAGAGTCTGACAACAACGTAGCCAATCAGGCGACGGCTACGCATGCACCGCCCCACTATATTTACATCATGTTCTTATTGGTCACAAAAGATACAGCGAGCCAATAGCAAATCACATACGATGAAAAAAAAAACGTAATATTAAAAAGCAAATCATGTAACGCAAACAAAGGGAAAAAAAAACTTAAATTACTTTGGACTGATTGGGTAGGCCTAGGATCAATCAGGGTCACCCGTGGCTACGCCCCTGCCCGTGCGGCTGCAATGTGTTCTCAATTCGAAATATCCAAGAGGGAATGAATTATTATCGCAGTTTATTTCAGCCGTGCTCACCATGCGAGAACAATGCGCCCTCCAGGCCAGCCGGGGGCGGTAGTACCACTGTCGGAAGTCCACTGTCTGTTCGGAAGGGCGGTCAAAAGGAAGTGACGTAACCAGCTCTCGAGGTTGCGCCAGTTTTTAAATGCTCTTCTGAGCGTCTCCAGTTGTCAATAAGGGGCTCTCAAGACAGTAATGCAAGATTTGCATTACTTCAAATGGAAATGAAGCTTTTTGTGCTCTGACGAATTCACTGAAGGACAGTTTCAAGGTAATGGATAAATATTGAATCTTGTTCATATTGAATGTTACTGTTTTGTGGACAGACGATCAATTGCAGTGACATGACGTTGATCGTAAGTAATTAGAATTTAAAATGAGTGTTTAAAAGTGCCTGTCTTCTAATCTACTTTCTAGGATTTCAGTTGATATTTTGACGTTTGTGCGAGAACTGTATATCTTTAAAATAGTTAAAGTAGTAATAAAGTAGCTGCGTCAGCATGTGTAGGCTGCAAAGGAACAGGTAAAGGTTTATTCCCTGCTGAAAAGAGAAGAGAGAAAACTCAACGTTTCGGCCGTGCAGTCTTCCTTGCGGGTGATCTTAAAAGACGCGTTCATCTTTAAAATATGCGTGCTGTAGAAAATGGACTATTTTAGTGTCTGATCTGTTAGTAAAGAAAACGTCTGCACTCGTCACCTCGACCTCGTCACCCTGTAGCAATATAAAAGAACGTATGCCCCAGGTTAGTTCTTTATAAAAAAATATTTGTGTTTATCTGTACATCGGTCAAGGTGCATGAACCAGGGAGAGAGTAACAGCTGTGACGCAAGGACCGCGGCTCTTTTTCACGCGTGTTTTTGTCACCCCGTCTCCGCATTAATCAAGCCCACAGCTTTTTGCCACTAGCTGCTTTGTGCACTTCGCGAGCCGCGGGACTCCCTGCTTTCTTGGGACGGCTCAGGAAGTGGTGATGGACGACGACACGCAGAGGCTGTTCCAGAGGGTGGCTGGGAAACTGGGCTGGACCAAGCCTGGAGGACTGGACGCCACAGCGAGGGAGGTAGGAGGTGTGGGGCGTGGGGTAGGAGCGGGCCTTCACCTCTGTGATTAGGTAGTAGTGTTTCACCACACAATTCCAAGTGTCCTGTATTTGATTTAAAAAAAGGTGTTCAGTAAGTTGGATGACTTAGAACTGTCAGGTCTAGTAAGATATATCCGGAGCAGTACTGTATCATGGGTGGTGAGTCCTGGGTGCTGATTCAAAGGCATCTGCCAGCATGTCATCCTGACATCACTGGCAGCCCACTGAAGCTCAGCAGGTGTGAGTCTGGTCAGTACCTGGATGGGAGACTCCTGTGAAAGCTGAGGTTGCTGCTGGAAGAGGTGTTAGTGGGACCAGCAGGGAGTGCTCACCCTGCAGTCTGTGTGGATAGTCTAATGTCTAGTATAGTGATTGGGATATTAGATAGTATTATAAAAAGATGTCCTTCAGGTGAGACATAAAACTGACTCTCTGTGGTCAATAAAAATCCCAGGTCATTTCTCGAAAAGAGTAGGGGTGTTTCCCTGGTGTCCTGGCCAGATTCCCCTCCCTGGCCTTTCTCAACCATGGCGGCCTAATAATCCCCATCTCTGAGCTGTCTTCTTCACTCTGCTCTCCTCCCCACTGAGAGTTGAGAGTACTGGTGCACTATGGCTGCTGTTGCATCATCCAGTGGGACTGCACATTGCTGGTGGTCGTGGAGGAGAATCCCCATTACCTGTAAAGCGCTTTGAGTGGAGTGTCCAGAAGTGTGAGGAATAGTCATTATTATGGTTATTAGCAGTAGAGTTGATGCCAGTCCAGGCCTGACTGCCCCTCCTCTGTCTAACCTTTCCTCCCTCGTGCAGCTGCTGAGGAGTGTGGGGAAGAGTGAGCAGGTGGTGCCGGGACGGGCAGGCTCTGGGAAACAGAGGGGTGATGCCAGTCCTCCTGCAGTGCGGCCCCCCACCACTAGGCGGCAGCTGTCTGACAGTGAGAGTGAGGGGGGCAGCACCTCGGAGAAGGAGA